TAAGGCTTTTATTATGTTGAGGTATGATCCTTGGGCTCCCTCTTTGCTGAGAGTTTTTATCAAGAAAGTGTGTCAGATTATGTCAAATGCTTTTTCTGCATCAATTGATATGATTATATGATATTTGTCTTTCAATTTGTTTATATTTTGTATCATATTTATTGATTTGCAGATATTGTACAATCTTTCATCCCAAGAATAAATCCCACTTGGTCATGGTGTATGATCTTTCTAATGTATTGCTGGATCCGATTTTCCAGAATTTTCTTGAGGCTTTAAGGACTGATGGGTGTCACTATGACTACAGTGGGATAGCTGCTGTGCGGGAGACACCCCTATGGAGCATGACCTGTATCAGTGGGGCTTTGGTGGTCAGTGAGTCTGCCCCTTGAGTGTGTCGCTTATGGATGTGAAGAGTTGTAAGGTAGTATGGTATGACACTGACCACTGGGTACACTGGCTCTTGGGTCTCCAGGGAAGTGTAAAGTCAGCCTCTTCCTGGAACCACTGAGCAGCATCTACAGAGAGATCTGCAGATTCTCCTCTTTGTATCGAGTTTGGAAGTGCCCTGATGAGGCCCAGCTGTGAAGCAAGGAAGGCTAGTGCTTGTGCCAGGTATAGGCCTTTTATTGATAGGTTTGGGGCTCCCTGACCCAACTGCAACTTGTTTGACAGGTCTTAGCCTGAGCAAGGACAGGCAATTCATATACAAACACTGCTGCACACAACTTGGGTGGAGTTGTAAATTGGATGGGGTGAGGTCTCATGGAATCAACCAGGTCGGAGCACACAGAAATGGTTGATACTCAGACCTGCGACCTTGGATGTGGCAGCATAGGTATAATGACCACAGCAAGCACCTCTGTCTGGAAGAAAGCTGTCCCCAAATTCCTGCCCTGATTCCAGTTAGTCCAGTTTTCCTGGTATGTATCTTGATCCGCCCCTCCACCCCCAGGCTCAACAGGCCCTGGACGTCAGAAGAAGCAGGAGCTTGTATGTTCAGTTCGTGGTACTGGCGTTGTAAGTGGAGCAGCTGGGTCTCCTGCAGCCTCTGTGTCACTGAGCCCCATCCGCATTGGTTTTTACAGCCCGTAGTTCTTACTGCCATTAGGGCTTTTTTCCCCAGCTCTGGGACCCTGTGCTGGGCGTCTGATGTGGTACTGGGACTCCTTGCTCCTCCAGGTGACCTCTGCAGAGATCATCTCCCTCTCAATTAGAAAAGTGGCCCAAATGGGTAGAGGACCATCACCTTCTGAGCCTCTTTACCTCCTACCAGACTCAGGGTGCTTTCTACTTTACCTCTCAAGTCCTAAGACTTCCATTCAGCCAGCTTTCCAGGCTATCTGGCTGATGTTGTTGTGTATTTTAGTTGTAATTTTCATGTGGTTGTGGGAGGAAGCCAGTATAAGCCTTTACCAACACCACCATCTTGGATCACCTCTCTCGTACCTTTCCTGAATTCTATTCTTTCTTCTTTTATCTTCACCGGAATAGTGAGAATATTTTTTCCATTGATTTTTTTCCTGAGGAAAAGAGAGAAACATCAATTGGTTGCCTCCCACTTGTGCCCCGAGTAGGAGGCGGGTTGAACCTGAAGCACACATACCTGCCTCTTACGGAGAATCAAATCCATGACCTCCCACTGTGCAAGCAGGCACTCTCAGCACTGAGCGACACGGGCCAGGGCTATTTATTTATTCCTTAAATTATTTATCTATTTATTTTTAAACTACATTTTATTGATTTCAGAGAGGAAAAGAAGGACAGAGCAATAGAAACATGAATAATGAAGGAGAGTCATTGATCAGCTGCTTCCTGCACAGCCCCCCTGGAGATTGGGTCTGTAACCTGTGCATGTCTTCTGACAAGGAATGGAACTGTGATTTCCTAGGTCCGTGGTCGGCAAACTGCGGCTCGTGAGCCATATGAGGCTCTTTGGCCCCTTGAGTGTGGGAAACAGAGAAAAAGGGAAACATTGATCTGCTGTTTTTTTCCCATGTGAGCATTTATTGGCTGTCCCCTACATGTACCCTGCAAACCCACAGCCGTGGTGCATCGGGACCACACACTCAACAAGAGAGCTACATGGCCAGGGCTCTGAATTTGTTTATTAATTTCAGAAGCTCATATGGGATCTTGACCAATTTCTCTATGGAGGGTCATGTCGTCTTCTAACATCAACATCTCTTATGATGCTTTGTATTTCCTAGTGTCAGCTGTAATGTCTTATCTTTCATTTCTTTGAAGCATGTTTTTTTTTGTCCCCCAATTTACCTTTCCCTAGGATACCCTACGCCTCTGAAGCTAGTTTTTGCATTTTGCTTTAGTCTAACTCTATATTTAGGGTAGCCAATATTTGTATTGTTTTATTTTGCCTTATCTCCCTTTTACTGATGCTTCTTCAAATATTTGAGGAAGAGTGATGGAGAGAGAGAAACAGAGAGAGAGAGAGAAACATCAGTGTAAGGGAGAAACATCAATTGGCTGACTTGTGTACACAGGGTAACTACAAATGGAACCCATATACTGATATGTACCTTGCCGTGGGAATTGAATACTCCACTCTTTGGTACACAGGACGATGCTCCAATGAACTGAGCAATACTGACCATGTTTTTTGTTGGTTTTTAAATATATTTTATTTATTTATTACGGAGAGGAAGGGAGAGGGATAGAGACTTAGAAACATCAATGAGCGAGAAACATTGATCAGCTGCCTCCTGCACACCCCCTACTCGGGATGTGCCCGCAGCCAACGTACATGCCCTTGACCAGAATCCACAGGTCTACGCTGTATCCACTGAGCCAAACCGATTAGGGCCATTCTATGGTTTTGAAACACACAAATTTCCAGTATTTTTTGAAGAACAGGCCACTATGAGTAATGATAGTGGAAGCTCAGTGGCTGCTGGAGGTAACGGTGACCCTCTTTTTTGACTGTAGGTATCTTCCTATATGTTTGTTCACCCAGCCTATCCCGTCATTCTTTCCATATAGTTTTCCTTTATTTCTGTCTCTTATACTGTTTGTCTTCATGGTACGCTTATCCGCATTTCCTATGGGGTTTTTGTTCATGGTTAGCTGCCTACTTACACTAGGATAGGGCAGATACTGATAGCTCTGATCCTGCCGTCTTGCTGATGTCACTCCCATAGGTCTTTTTTTTAAAATATATTTTTATTGATTTCATAGAGGAAGGGAGAGGGAGAGAGGGATAGAAAAATCAATGATGAGAGAGAATAATTGATTGGCTGCCTCCTGCACACCCCCTCCTGGAGATGAAGCCTGCAACCCAGGCACGTGTCCCTCCCAAGAATGGAACCTAGGAATCTTCAGTACACAGGCAGACACTCCATCCACTTAGCCAAGCCGGCTATCGCTCACATAGGTCTTTTGTCTGCGATCTCATTTGTCCTTTGTTCTACCACAGTGTTGACCATCCAACTTTGTTGTTTATCTTTGCAGATTTGCATCATTTATCACGTGCAATGGCTCAAATGGGATTTAAGGGGAAGAATCATTTTTGCATCACAGAAGAAACATAACATTATTGATTTTTAAATGTATTTTATTGATTGTTTTACAGAGGGGAAGGGAGAGGGATAGAGAGTTAGAAACATCCACGAGAGGGAAACATCAATCAGCTGCCTCCTGCACAGGCCCGACTAGGGAAGTGCCCGCAACCAAGGTACATGCCCTTGACCAGAATAAAACCTGGGACCCTTGAGTTCAAAGGCCGATGCTCTATCCACTGAGCCAAACCCGTTAGGGCAAAACAGGTCTTTATTAATGACACAGTGGACCCACAGGCGGTCTTGCCTAGGAGAAGGGTCTTTGGGGAGGAATTCTCTGCTGGCCTTTGTTATAGTCATAGCTAGAAATCCAGTGTTTTCTTACGGTTGCCCATTCCTCACCCAATTAATGTGTGTTTGTACTAATTGTTTTTATTTTGCCAACTTCTCAGTTCTAAAGTGATCCTTTCTTGGATTCCCAGCCCACAGATAACGTTCACCTCTCTGGACTTTGCACGTCTGCCTCTTTTACTGGTCTCTCTTTACTGTGGGCCAACGTTGGTCCCTGCCTGCAGCACCTTGAAGTGCACACATGTTATTACATGGATGTTGAACGTCATGTGCTCTAATACAGTTAATTTTTATGACTTTGAGCAGCTTTAAATTATTCTACACAGACTCACATGGCCAGCATGTAAGGTCCAAATAGAAGCCATTGGTTTGGGAACTTCCTCTGTTCTTTGTATCCCGTCCTGTGCTTCTGTCCCTCTATTGGTTTGTTTTACATCATCGACTAACTTTTGGGGCCACGATATGTATAACAGCAATTTCCTCACAGGATACCTCACTGGTCCTTAAAATCTTTCTATGGCATCATGCCTAGTCATGACAGATAAACATTCGTGGTGAAGATATTTTGTTTTGATGGGATCGACACATACTTCACCAGTGTTTCCTTTTGCTCAGGTTGCTGCTGTGGAGCAGAGAATGTGGAGGCAGCGACTGAACAGAATGTTTCTGTAAGAGTGTCACAGGAAACGAATCCCACGTTAGCCTTGTCTTCCCAGAAGAGCCACCCCTGTGAGAGTTGTGGACTAGTCTTGGGAAACATTTTCCACGTGATGGAGCTGCAGGGAACACACCACGTACAGATACTGTTGAGGTGTGGGGCATGTGCAAAACGGTTTTATTTCACTGTAAAATTTCACCAGCAACATCATGTGAGAGAGACTTTCATTAGAGGTGTGGACAGGATCTCCCTTGCAAACAGCTGCAATTTCAACGTGTCCCAGAATCATTTCTCATCGGTAGAGGTTGGGCAGGGTGTCCTTACTGAATCAGGACATCTCCACCTAAAGGGCAGGGACAGTCCAAATGCTATTTTGACACAGGGGATGACATTTCAAAGGACAAAAAATTATTACACCAGAAAAGAATATAAGAAAAACATTACCTGCACCCACACGTTTATTCAGGAAAAAGATTTCAATGCTGGAAGTCAATGTTTTGTGTGCTCTGAATGTGGGAAATATTTTACCAAGTTTTCTAGCTTGTATTACCTACAGCGAAGTGACACTGCAGAAAGGCCTTATCAGTGCAGTGAATATGGGAAAGCTTTTAGCAACAGTAACAGCCTAGGTGATCATGAAGCTTTGCACACTAATGAAAGGCCTTATGAGCGCAGTGAATGTGGAAAATCTTTTACCAATAGCAGTGCCCTCCATTATGATCAGAGAGTGCTCACAGCAGAAAGGCCTTATGAGTACAATGAGCAGGGAAAATCTTTTACCAGGAGCAATAACCTTCATGGTCTTCAGAACTTTCACACTGGAGAAAAGCCTTATATATGTAGTGAATGTGGGAAAGCTTACACCTATAGGACTAAACTTTTACGTCATCATTATAGAGTGCACAGTGCAGAGAGACCTTATCACTGCAGTGAATGTGGGAAATCTTTTATCACCAGCAGTAAACTGAGTTGTCATCAGATACTTCATACAGGAGAAAAGCCGTATAAATGCAGTGAATGTGGGAAATCTTTTGCCACTAAGGCCTACCTTCACAGTCATCAGAGAGTTCACACAGGAGAAAAGCCTTATAAATGCAGTGAATGTGGGAAATCTTTTGCCACTAAAGCCCACCTTCACAGTCATCAGAGAGTTCACACAGGAGAAAAGCCTTATAAATGCAGTGAATGTGGGAAATCTTTTGCCACGAAGGCCCACCTTCAGAGACATCAGAGACTTCACACTGGAGAAAAGCCTTTTAAATGCACTGAATGTGGGAAATCTTTTACCACTAAGTTTCAACTTCATTGTCATCAGGGAGTTCACACAGGAGATAAGCCTTATAAATGCACTGAATGTGGGAAATCTTATACCAGTAAGACTGACCTTTGTACTCATCAGAGAGTTCATACAGGAGAAAAGCCTTATAAATGCAGTGAATGTGGGAAATCTTTTACCAGTAAGGCCCAGCTTCGCTGTCATCAGAGAGTTCACACTGGAGAAAAGCGTTATCACTGTAGTGAATGTGGGAAGTCTTTTATCACCAGCAGTGATCTTTGTCGTCATCAGAGAGTTCATACAGGAGAAAAGCCTTATAAATGCAGTGAATGTGGGAAATCTTTTACCACTAAGGGCCACCTTCGCATTCACATTCAGAGAGTTCACACTGGAGAAAAGCCTTATAAATGCACTGAATGTGGGAAATCTTATACCAGTAAGACTGACCTTTGTACTCATCAGAGAGTTCATACGGGAGAAAAGCCTTTTAAATGCAGAGAATGTGGGAAGTCTTTTATCACCAACCGTAATCTTGGTCATCATCAGAGAGTTCATACAGGAGAAAAGCCTTATAAATGCAGTGAATGTGGGAAATCTTTTACCACTAAGTTCAACCTTCACAGTCATCAGAGAGTTCACACTGGATAAAAGCCTTATTAATGTAGTGAAGGTGAGAAATATTTTGCAGGTCGCAATGGTCTCCAATGTCATCTAAGTTCATACAAGAGAAAAGCCTTATAAATGCAGTGACTTTGGGAAATTTTATACCAGTAGCACCAACCTTCGCTGTCATCAGAATTCATACAGGAGAAATTGCTTATAAATGCAGTGAATGTGGACAGTCTTTTACAACTGACTCTCACCCTCATTGTCATCAGAGAGTTCACACAAGAGAAAGTCCTAATGAGTGTAATTAATATGAGATATCTTTCTGTCCAATTTGTAAATTCGCTTTGCACAAAAGAGTTCAAATGTGAAAAGTTTCTCAGATGTGTTGAAAATGTAGTTTCTTAGTTAGGACTTAACAATTGTATAAGAAAATATGTGAAGTCTCATTAGTCTGTTTAGCGCATACATTTAATCACCTATATCATGTAACGTACCCGCAACTATTTTTGCTCTTCTGTTTTCTTGTTTGTATGTTGTAACCGTATGTATCTATGTTGGACTGTTAAACATACAAAGCTGTCATGCCAGGTCTGTGTCATTGCATATTTCAGTTGTTGAAGATGTTTCACCTGAACCACTTATAAAGGCCCCTACAGATGGCCTCAATCACCATCCTCATGGGCCCAGGGAAGCTAATTCTGTTGTCTAATTTGTTGAAGAAAATGAGGAATACCTGGGCCCTTTGTGTTACTTGTTTCTCTGTCCTGATTTGCCACATAGGACTGATTACTGTTGGCCCCAGTAAACATAATCTTGCAGAGGACCTGCCATTTTCAGGGACAGTATTTCTGTAAATGCCAATGAGTGCCTAAGTAACCAATGAAAGAAATGCCAGTCTCACGGCTCTTTCTTTGCAAAATAATGTTTTTCCCTAAGACTTCTTTAATGTTGGGTGTTCAATTGACTCCATAGGTTAGTTTATAAGGAGATATGGGCTCTCCAAGCATGATGATGTGAAAAACTTATATGGGGTCTCAAACATTTTTGTCTTTGGGGGAATACTATGGTGCAGAAATTAGCTCAGCAGTTTTTGCCAAATTTGCACTGCTGCCCATAATTTCCCAGGAAACACTGTAGTCTCTCTAGTCCTCATGTGAAGCTGGATGCCTTGAGACACAGAGACCACTCCGAAGAGCGTGTAGCTGTGACAACCTCAGGTATGTTTTCTAGCAGCTTGAATGCTTTTCTTGTTTTCAAGGAATGCTAAGACATTTGAAGGGAACCTCCTGTCCAGGTCTTGCAGAGGGCCATGTGCCATAATGCCTACAATTGCATGGGTGATGGGCACTGGTTTCAGGACCATTGCAGTGACTTAATTCCTGTTGGACCAGACTGCAGCCCATTAGATGGAATGGTCTTCATCTAAACCTGCACCAAGAAATGTTTTTGAGGAAAAGACTATAGGAGCCGTGTGTACACAGATCTGAGGAACATCTGGTATGTTTTTCTTCTGTGAAGCAGTCTTTGTCCTTGATTACAATCAAGATGTTTTGTGTCTTCCTGTAGCTTCTCAGATGTTCCCATCAGAGCCATTGGTGCTCTGGCAGCAAAACTAAGAGGAAAACAAAGGGTGTCTTGAATTCAGAGATGTGGCTTCCATGAGCCAGCCAGCATTTTCGGTTTGGTTCTGTGGTCGGCAAACTGCGGCTCTTTGGCCCCTTGAGTGTGACTGTTCCGCAAAATACCATTCGCGGGCGTGCGCATACAGTGCGATTGAAACTTTGCGGCCCATGCACAGAAGTCAGCTTTTGGCCTGGGCGAGTCTATTTTGAAGAAGTACTGTTGATATTTGGTTCCGTTGACTACTGGGTTTGCCGACCACTGGTTTGTGTGAAAGTACTTCATTGTTTGTTACATTTTCTGTCACTGAAATGAGACTTGCCCAGAGGGCATAAGAATGTGGATTGAATATAGAGTTGAAAAACCTGTTGGTACAAAATAGGTGAATGTACATTTCTTTTTATCTTTAGCCATTTTATAACAGCAGTAATGCGTAAATTATATGTGTTAAGGATACTGTTTTATAAATCTTGACATGTGCATGAAACTGAAACCATCATCTACTTCTATAAAAACCATGGGTGGTGTTTATCACGACCATCAGAATCCCGACCAAGCAGAAGGAAGTCAGTCCTGCAGGGGTTGTCTTGGCGATGGCTGCTCCCTCCCCGCAGCTATTTCCGGTGAGGGCGGGGTTTGAGGCAGGAACCCGCCCACGGAGCATGGACCCACTGAATCCAGGGTCGCTTTGCCAAGGGCTGCACCCTCCTGGAGCTGTTTGGGTGCAACATCAAGCCAGAAGCTTGACCAAGCTGAAGGAAGTTAGTCCTGCAGGGGTGGTTTTGGCAACGGCTGCGCCCTCCTTCAAGCTGTTTCCTGGAGCTATTTCCAGTGAGGGCGGTGTTTGAGGCAGGAACCCGTCCTAGGAGCGTGGACCCACTGAATCCTGGGTCGTTTTGCCAAGGTCTGCACCCTCGCCAGCTGTTTCCCGTGTGGCCTGAGGGAAGAACCCACCCTCAGAGCACCAGGAGCACCCAGATGCAGTCAGTCCTGGATTGCTGAAGTGGAGAACACAGCATGGTAGAACTCTGGGTCTGGCTTAACCGGGGGTATGGCTGACCTTCAAACCAGACCCAGACAGTAGAAAGGAGGGAGCCCCCATTCCTCACAAAATCCGCTCTTGGATAGCTTGCTCTCAGTGGCCTGACAGCCATGAAGCCCGTTCTCCTGCATCCCGGACCTTGACAGGAGAGAGGAGGGAGCCACTTTCCTCACAGAATTGACAGGTGGCCAGTTTTCTAATAAATTCCCTTTTTAAAATATATATATATATTTTATTGATTTTTTTACAGAGAGGATGGGAGAGGGATAGAGTTAGAAACATCAATGAGTGAAAAACATCTATCAGTTGCCTCTTGCACACTCCCCACTGGGAATGTACCCGCAACCCAGGGACATGCCCTTGACCGGAATGGAACCCTGGACCCTTGAGTCCATAGGCCGATGCTCTATCCACTGAGCTAAACTGGTTAGTGCAATTAATTCCCTTTTAATGTGCATGAATTTCGTGCCCTAGGCCACTAGTTCTACTCATAATACTGATCATATCTATGACTGTGTAGTTGTTTCATGACCTCGTTTAATCTGTCCCTGTTCTTCACAGCTTTCCTGGTAACCAGGAATTTACATTCCATTTTAGTACTTACCTTTGCTTCTTCTAAGTTTTTCCTGCTTTAATTTATATTTCATAAATTCTTTGACATTTATTAAAGATACATTAGTAAGTCATCTTTTTTATAAATATTCTTTTTGTTGTTGTTAATCCTCACCAGAGGATATTTCTTCATTGATTTTTTTTGGAGAGTGGAAGAGAGAGGGAAAGACAGAAACATCGATGTGAAAGAAACACATCTATTGGTTGCCTCCTGCATGAGCCTGGACTAGAGCCCGGGCTAGGAAGGCGTCTTGAACCAAGGTACATGCCTTTGCTGGAATCAAATCTGGACCCTTCGGTCTGTAGGCCTATGCTCTATCCAGAGACAAACCGACTAGGGCCCTGGTAGATATTCTTATCTTTGAATATATCACCATCATGTGTCCATTTTAATAAATATTTGGTTATTTCTAATAAAGCTGGTACAAACATTTTTGTATAATTCTTCATATGGATTTAAGTGTTATTTACCTTTGTCAATCAGACATCTTCCCAGGGCTTCGGGGTGCAAAAGGGGCACAGCCCGGGATGAAGGCTGCCCTCTGTGTGCAAGAAAGTCGGGGACCAGGCCTGTACTTTAAAGATATTCTGTAATTTTGTGATTCTACCTCACTGTTGTTTGATTGTATTTTTTTTTAAATAAATCTTTATTGTTCAGATTACATTTGTTCCTCTTCCCCCCCCCCATAACTCCCCTCCTTCCAGTTCCCACTCCACCCTCCGCCCTCACTCCCCACCCACTGTCCTCATCCATAGGTGCACGATTTTTGTCCAGTCTCTTCCCGCATCTTCCATTCACCTTTCCCCCCCCAAGAATAGTCTGTCCATTCCCTTTCCATGTCCCTGATTCATTATAATCACCAGTTCATTCTGTACATCAGATTATTTATTCACTTGATTCTTAGATTCACTTGTTGATAGATGCATGTTTGTTGTTCACTATTTGTATCTTTACCTTTTTCTTCTTCCTCTTCTTAAAGGATACCTTTCAGCATTTCGTATAATACTGGTTTAGTGGTGATGAACTCCTTTAGCTTTTCCTTATCTGTGAAGCTCTTTATCTGACCTTCAATTCTGAATGATAGCTTTGCTGGATAAAGTAATCTTGGTTGTAGGTTCTTGGCATTCATCACTTTGAATATTTCTTGCCACTCCCTTCTGGCCTGCAAAGTTTCTGTTGAGAAATCAGCTGACAGTCGTATGGGTATTCCCTTGTAGGTAACTGAGTTTCTTTCTCTTGCTGCTTTTAAGATTCTCTCTTTGTCTTTTGCTCTTGGCATTTTAATGATGATGTGTCTTGGTGTGGTCCTCTTTGGATTCCATTTGTTTGGGGTTCTCTGCGCTTCCTGGACCTGTAAGTCTATTTCTTTCACCAGGTGAGGGAAGTTTTCTGTCATTATTTCTTCAAATAGGTTTTCAATATCTTGCTCTCTTTCATCTTCTGGTACCCCTATAATTCTGATGTTGGTACGTTTGAAGTTGTCCCAGAGGCTCCTTACACTATCTTCGTATTTTTGGGTTCTTTTTTCATTTTGCTTTTCTGGTTGGGTGTTTCTCGCTTCTTTGCATTTCAAATCTTTGACTTGATTCTTGCCCTCCTCTGGTCTGCTGTTGGGAGTCTGTATAATATTCTTTATTTCAGTCAGTGTATGCTTACTTTCTAGATGGTTCTTTATCACACCATCGAGGGTCTCATTAGATTTCGTGTACATCTCATCAAGTTTATCGAGAGACTCTAGAAGCCTCTTGAGAGACCTCAAAAGTG